GGTTAATTGCTGTACAAGATGCAGACTTGTGATCCTACTTACAAACACCATTAGAAAAAATCATTCTATTCATTAAGAGAATGCAACTATATATCTATCCCAACCACTTTGAATACACAGATACAAAATGGACATTCATAGTTATATCCCAATTTTTTTAAGTTCTGTTGTTGAATATTATAGGTGTGTAAACTCAGCAAAATATTCTAAAAGCGTCCAGTAGCCCATAATAGCATTGGGTCTTCTGTTTAACTGGCAATGTCAGAAATTATTCACCTGAGTCCCCCACAGCTCAACATAACAACATGGCTTTACTTCCTATATTTCGTCTTCATACTTTTCTACTGGATGGTTAAGACCAAGGTAAAGCAGGACCTGTTTTATACTTAAAATAGACTTACATTTTTTACAATCCAATTATGCTGTTCATGAGAATTGCATTTTATTTTTTCCTCTTTAAAATGCATTTGAAGAACTAATTCATCTGCCTCCCGAAGCTATTAATCATGCCTCATTTTTGAGAAGTGCTCTGATGTTCAAAACTTCCATCCCACAGTGACTTACCAGCACTCAGGTCGTGACAACCCAATGATAGAGGGACTATTATCTTCATTTTACAAACAATGAAAACAAAACTCAGAAGGGTTCTATGATAGAACTGCACCGAAATGCTGTGCAAGGTGTTTTCCTGCCAGTCCTGTGGTCTCTGCACTTCACCATGAAGACCTTACGCATAGTAGTTGAGCTCTCAGATAAAAGTATAGCACTGTAGGCATGAGGCGCTTTGCAGGATGCAGTGCACCAGAAGTAACACGTGAGGACAGTAATGGAAGAAGATGTTTCTACTCGTAAATAAAAGGCTGGAGCAATTAGATCTCCCAAAGAGAAAAAACTCATTTCTGGTATCAGGAAGCGGGATGATAGCAGCAGTTTATCCCACAGAGAAAAACCTCTGTGGGGATAACTGAACTTATAAATAGAGTGTACATAGGTAGACACCAAAAATCCTTAGTGGTAACAGAAAAAATAGCCTCCTTATCTCTAGTCAGGTTTAGTAAATTAATGCAACAATAACAAACTTTTTAGAGTCTGAGCACCCAAATTGCAATGCAAATCCCACTTATGTACTGCAAAGTGCCAGCCCTGCAATTAAACCTGAGTACTGAGGCTTTCATTTAGAAGAAACAACTCATACACTTGTCTTGTGTGCTGACAGAGAGCTCTGTGGGCCTGCTGCATACCACTAGCCTAATTATGCTAGAGGACGTGATAGGAGGCTTCCTTGAATCTTGGACAATCTCCATAGCCTTCACATCTTCTGTCCTCTTTTCCTCTTCTTCTTACCTGCTGACCTTGAGCAGAGTTCAGCCATTGCTACATTCAAATGTCTTCCAGTTTTATTCTCATGCCCAGCTACTACCATTTGTTCCCGTAATGATCTACATGGTGGACCTGATGCATTCTGGCATACGGTAGGAAATACATTGGATTTGCCCCAAGGTACCACATCTTTACCAGGCAGACATCAGTAGGATCTGGAAGTGTTGAAGGAGGAAGCATAGGAAAGACGTTGTAGGTGAGTGAGGAAGCTGACGAAAGCATCAAGTTGAAAGTGAAATTGTATGAGGAGTAATAAGGAGGCGGATCTCACAGGCACAGCCCAGGGCAGGGGCTTCCTCAGAGAGAAGGAGGCTGGATTCCCACGCTGGGGCCTCCGAGAGAAGGGCTGGACTTTCGAGAGGAACAAATTGGACTTTGTGTAGTAAACAAGCCAAAGCAGTCAAGGGACAAAATAATTTATATTAGGAAAATTAAGCAAGTTGTAGAGACCAAAGGAAATTGTTGTGGCTTGTTTCTAGATGTTCCCCCAGAGCCTCATGCACTCATAGGTGGGACTTTTCCAAACTGGCTGGGTTAGGTTGAGTAATATTGTAATTAAGGCTGTGATACTGGGGGGAGGGGGGGGGGGGGAGAGAGAGAGAGAGAGAGAGAGAGAGAGAGAGAGAGAGAGAGAGAGAGAGCTTTCATTGCTACCATTCCTGTTGCTGTCATTGCTTGTGGTCTTGCCGCCTTCTTCCTACCCTACCCTCCATTACTGTGATCCCCTCTGCCCCACTGGAGCCAACCAACTATAGGCTGGAACCTCTACAAACTGTGAGCCATAATAAACCTCTCCTCCTTTAACATTATGTGTCAGCATTCATGTCTCAGTAATGAGAAAAGTAACTAAGACAGAAATGAACACAGAAGGTCCAGGAGGTGTGGGAACACACACAGCTGCAGCCGATGCAAATCAAATATTCATGAACCACAAAAATGCATGATTGCAGTTCTGACTATAGGCATCAGAGTCCTGTGGTGATGGAGAAAGACTGTGGACTAGAGCTTCAGCTACAGAAGGCCTCACAGAGGAACTGCCACACACCCCACACCCTGAAGAGTTGGTTCTCAGTACAGATAGAAGGACCACTAGTCTGGTTAAAGTGGGTAATGCATTGTTACCCACTGCAAAATGACCCCAATTACGCACCCCAAAAATTGTTACCCCCATGCAAAAATTGATATATTTTAGGAGAGTGTGGGGACCTCATCTAAATAGCTGAGGAAGGCAGATAGCTTCCCAGCCTTCCTCTCCCAGGTCCTTTGTATGAGGCTGGTGACCTCTGCTCCACTAAAGCATCGTCCACACTCACTTTGCTCGTCGCTCCTGTATGCAGTCACAGGACAGCTTTGCTCTGTCACACTGCTTATCTGAAGTGCACATCAAATTCATTTACACTAAAATACAAGGGTACAAACTATAGTGTGATATGACACACCAAACACTCTTATTCTTACCCAAGCACTATGGGGAGGGGTGGTCAGAGGTTGTCCTATCTTACGGCTAAGAAAAGCAAGCCCAGGGACTGTAGCCTCAGGAGCATGGCTATGAAGGGAGAGTTTAACCGAGAGACTTCTGCACTGTTTCTCTGCCACACAGTTGTGCATTTTGCTGCAGTAATTGCATTTCAACAGAGCGCTGAGCCCTATGCCAAAGGTGTGTGGCTCTAACTGAAGACTTTGGACACCAACACAAAGGAGACTGGATCAGTGATGTTCTGAATGACTCTACATAGGTCATGCCTTTACCTTCATGCTGCATGCCACATGTATGGCCAGAGCAAATGAGAAAAAATTACGAGTTTACTTAACTTGTCTATGAAATGGAACTAACTCCATCCATTTCTCAGGGTGTTTGCAAAACCTCCTGGGCAATGTGCTTCTCACATAGTACACTTCAGGAAAGCTCACTTTCTTGCCCATTTTACTGAGCATAAGGCAAGCCCAAGCCCACCAAGGCCCCTGCGAAGGTCCTTCTTAACTGTTCCTTCTTTGCTTTTGTCCCTGACCTTGTGTCTCTCCTCATCCATCCTTTTGTCCAGACACACTGGCCCTCATTCAATTCTCAAACTAGGCAGCAATTTCCCTCCCCGTTCCCTTTATGCACAGTGCTTCCTCTACCCAGACTCTACCTTGTCGGGCTTGGCTTCCTGCTGGTCTCCAGTACTGGCTCAGGTGTCCTTGCTTCCTCAGGGCAGGATGATGTAGACCTCTCCTGTTACTCTCTCTCACTAGATCCTACAATTTCCCTTTGTCACATTTAATACAATTTCTAAGAACCTGTTTACGTTACTGCAATTCATCAGAGTTTATTAACCCTATATAAGCACAGCTTTAATGTCTGTCTCTTTCATCAGATTATGGATTCCCATGGGGTAGGAGCAGTGTCTGTGGACTTAACCACTACTCTTTGTCACACTCAATACAAAATCAAGCTCCAGCACACAGGGCTTGTTCCATAAGTATTTGCTTGAGTTACTGTTGAATAACTGTAATTCCTGGGATGCTCTGGGACAGTCTCCTGCTCTTTTGAGATGCAGTGTACTGCATTCCAAAAGAATAAAACCAACAGCAAAAGACTCTCATAAAGCCCTTATACTCTGATCTTTTAATTTTGTTGCCCCACCATGAATTGAGGTGTGTTCTCAAGTTGTTTCATAATCCCTTAGTCACATGGTCAGTTTTCCAAGGGCTGAAACTATTATAGTATCTTTTTAGAATTCTCTCATGTGCATCCTCTAATATTTCTTGATGAATGAGAAAATAGGCCAATCAATAAATCCTAGTGCACCCCTTTTGTGCAAAGAAAATCCTCACATAACAAATATGAAGATTCTACTGCGTCAAAATAATTTCTAACCATTGCTTACCTTCTTTTTTCTTGAATTAGAACTTTCAGTTTCAATAAGAAGCAAACAATCTTATCTTGAAAAGGGGGATTAGATTTATTTTTAATAAGAAAGTTTGAATTGGGAGATTTGAATTTTCCCCTAAAATGTAGTAAGAGCACTGGGAAGTCCCACATTCCTCAACAGGCATTAGTTCAGATATGAAAGATTAAAGCTTTTAAGTAAACTGGAATGTAAAAGGCATGTTAAATTCACTGAGCATTTAGTAAGAGTGTGTTTTCAGAATCTGAGACTGAACAGGGAACATGAACAGATACAGCAAGGAGCTACTGCTATCAAGCTTGGGGACGCATAGTCACACTGAGGAGTTCAGTAAGCAGTCACTTTTGTTCTCACCCTTTTCCCTATTCACAAGTAAACAAAACAAAAATATGAAAGCAAGATGCATCATTGTTATCCCCAGAATAATTGCCTACTGAACTGGGATTTCAACATTCTCCTTATTATTCTAAAAAATCAACTCCCTAGATTTCACTTGATCTTAGCCAAAAGGCCGAGAAGCAATGAACTCCCTAGATTTAATAGTTGATCTTAGAGCACAGGCCAGGAGAAAAGGGTAAGTTTTGCTGAATACCCGTTAGCCCACACAAATGGCCAAGCTCTTTTACGCAGTGTCACTTAATCACCTGTCTTTCCACCTCTGGATGGATTTGTGACTATCAACACAGCCTGCGAGGATGCTGCTGACAAGTGCCTTCTGTCCCGTCTCAGGCTGCAGCCGCCCTGAAGGTTGATGGAGGGCCATGCTATTCAAACAGCAGGTGTGGCTGAGACAGAAGCTCCTGGTGCTGGGAAGCCTTGCTGTTGGAAGTCTCCTGTATCTAGTCGCCAGAGTTGGGAGCTTGGATAGGTGAGTGATGAAACATATGCTAAGTCCCTATGACTTCCTGGCTATTGATTTAAACTTCATTAGGATAGACCTTTAAGTCTATATGTTTGTTTTCTTCCCTCAAAATTCCCAAGGAGCACGCTTTGCTGCTTTATTGATTTTGATTTGTGAAGACTTTAAAAGGAGGTGATCCTAATTGCTGAAACCACAGACCCATTTGTATTCTGTATACATTGACACTTGTTTTCAGACAGAAAATAGAGCTGTGAACAGTAAAAAAAAAAAAAAAAAAATGTTTACTAGAGCACATTGCAGTCCTTGTGCCTCTGCTGTTGACCTCTGGCCATGGCAAAACAGTGTTCATGTAACTATGTCTCTTCATTTTTAAATATATGAGTGGACAATTAATGTGCTCTCAGAAGTGTTAAAATTATGTATGTTCCAGAAAGGAGCTCATCAAATTTGCAGTCCCTCGCCCTGGAAAGATGGCTTCAGGCATGGATTTTCAACTACATTAATTAGCTCTGGTTTTCAGGAGCTGAACACATCAGGCAAGGAGGCTGTCATTCAGCATAATTGCCCAGAAGGCAGTGGAAAATTCATGGAGGGGAAATGAGAACGCCAGGTTTTGAGTCTAAATCTGCAAACAGATTGAGAGGTACCAGAGCTGCCCAAGCCCCAGCAATATCGGCTGACTGTCCATTACATGGCTTTGGGCTGTTCTACATCCAGTATGATTGTTAGATATGGAGGAGTTAATTTCATAAATGTGAAGCCTCTTTCTTTGCCCTTTAAAATTCATTCTTCTAGGGCAAAGACTGACGTCCGCTCTCTCAGAACTCAATTCCCACTATCGGTGAAAACACAGCTACAGGTTAAAGTGAAAATAGGTGCTTTCCGGATTTCTTTGCTAAACTCAAGCTCATCTGTATTCCTTATTATTCAGATATTCCAAAATAATATACAGTTTGACTCCTTCCTTTCCTTCATCCAGCATCCATTCTGATTGGGAAAATGAATCCCTTTGATGTTTTGCAATTCAAAATTCTTCAGTAAACCCCCAGTAGTTGTTACCTCCCATGTGAGACATATATTGAAAGCTATCACTTGAGATCTGAACCTCAACCAGTTTTCTAAAGCAGCATTTAGGAAAAAGCTTTGCGGTGGCTCCATTACCTTATTCCATGGTGGATGCTATGTCCATTCATTCCTGATATCTTTAATTAGCTTCCAATCAATAGTCATTAACATAGTCATTATTTAGTTGATGATTCTTTTCATTTTTTGTCTTATTCTCTAATCTGCAGTGTGATAGCATTTTTTAAAATAAGGGATGGGATTGTTTAGAGGGCTTTCTCAAAGTTCCTCACCTGAGAGTTTGAACAGACTTATGTCTGAAATCGACATATGCGTAAGTAGACTTGTTCTTTAGCAACTGAAGATCCTCATGGTTGAGCAGGAGGCCGAGGTTACCTCTGCTGTCCCTTCCAGTTCTAACTGTATGCATTTTGGTCAGGAACTCATGGTCACAATCTGGCCTCCAGCGTGTGGGGCAAAGTGCTCTATTTGTCTCCTGCCTTTCCATGTTCTGTTGCGTCCTGGAGTCCAAAAAGCAGTGTGCCGCAGGGTACCATCTGCCAGGATAGGCCTCTGCGGGAGAAATAAACTCTTCAGAAAAAGGCTTGAGGGACTATTTCCTCGGTTCTCCCAAAGACAATATGAGCGTCATTCCGATGCGTAGGCTCTACATCCATCGGACAGAGCTTAGATCTCAGCCAGAACCCAAGAAGAGCTGAAAGATGGAATTATAAGATCCTAATCAATTTCACAGTTAAAAACATGTTTGAGTATTATGAAAATGTCACAACAGAACATGTGTTGTATTGTTGGGTCAATATGTGTCAATTATTATAAAATAAAGCATTTGAATAATAAGAAGTATTAGCATGTCTTTTCATAATTTTATAGCTTCTGTCTAGAACCCTAGCATATTAATACCATTAAAAAATTTATAAAACTGAAATTCATGTTTCTCAAAAATAATAAAACCTGTGATAAACCCTATATTCCTAATAGTTTTTCATTTTTCATACTTTCCATAAGAATTGTTTCAAAAATCTTGAAAAACAAACATTAGAAAAAAATAAGATATGTTTAGTTTTCCTTAAGCACCACAACAGCTACTTCAGTGAGTACAGAACAACACCATCTCCCCAAGTCCGCAAAACCAGCTTAGCATGACTTTGAGATATGCCAAGTTCTCTTGGAAAAAGCAAGCAAGTGTCTCGTTATTACAGAGATGCATACAACAAATTACTAGGGTAACTAGAAATCTCTCAGTTGAAGAAATTGGTTTAATAGCCATTTAGATTCATGTTATCTTTTCTTTCCAAAGAAAACTGAAATGCCTTGCCAGATCAATTTAAGGAAGTTATAGTAAGTACCAGCTCATATCCCATTAAATCTAAAAGGAAACTCAATTTTTAAATATACACAGTGATCCTGCCAAATTATAACATTACTCCAACCTAATCTTGTGCTTATCATCATCTATAACTTCCTCAGAAAAACACAGGTGTTTTTTCATTCCATAAGGTAATGTTGAGGGGAAAATCCTATTTTCTGGCTCTAATGCCTGAATTGCCTTTTTATGAACTCTAGTCTCTGACTTATATGTGCTTAGTAATGACAAGCTGAGGTTTGTAGCCCTTGCTGGGACTTGTTGATTTCTAGCCCAGATGCAGCATGTGATATATAGTGCTTGCTGAAACTGAGTTTGCTCCTACATTCAGCAATGAAAACATAACCCTGACCTCCTTAGAAAGGGAGAGAAAAGAAACTATAGTATTCTTGGGCTATCCTGAAAGCTAAGGGTAAAAAATTCTCATAAAATGAAAAGCTCAGCAAGTGCCAAGGTTGGAATTTTTCAGGCTGGTGGTACAGATAGTCAAAGGGAGAGACTGAGAATTCTTTTCACATTATATCTTTTTTTTTTTTTTTCTTTTTCAGTACTGGGGAATTGAACTCAGGACCCAGCACTTGCCAGGCAGGTGCTTATTCTACTGAGCTATCTCCCCAACCCCACATTATATCTTAAAGAGTTTTAAAAATGACATTGAGTATTGCTGTGGGCTGGGGAGATGGATCAGTGGGGTAAGCGCTTCCCTAGCAAGCGCAAGGGCCTGAGTTCAATCCCCAGTTCTGAAAGTAATAATAATAATAATAATAATAATAATAAGAGATGAAACCCAAAACATATGGCCATTTATCTACCCTTCAGCCTCTCAGCTAAAGATTATAATCTGCCTTTCACGTTTTCAAAATGATTTTAACCAGTGAGCTGTTATAAAGCTATTAGTGTGGCTGATGTCACTTGTCTGTCTTGTACTGTGAGCATAAGTACATGCTGTAGTCAATTAAGTGCTTGGTGAATGAAAATTTTAAGGAGCACTAATAAAAAAATCCCTTCAATTATATGTGCTCTATTTAATGCAGCATTGCTTAAAATAAAACTTTCTAAACATATGTTCATTATGGGTTGAAGCAGGCCAGTGGGAACCAGTGGTTTTATTTATGCATTGAAAATCTTCATCTGACTGGGAAAACAGAAAAACAAAAAGTTAGTAGTAATGATGTTCTTACAGTATCTCTCTGTTGCTTTCAGGCTACAACCCATTTGCCCCATTGAAGGCCGATTTGGTGGAGCCAGCAGTCAGGCTGAATTACCACTTCGTGCCCTGCAGTTTAAACGCGGCCTGCTGCACGAGTTTCGGAAGGGCAACACTTCCAAGGAGCAGGTCCGCCTCCATGACCTGGTCCAGCAGCTCCCCAAGGCTATCATCATCGGGGTGAGGAAAGGGGGTACGAGGGCCCTGCTGGAGATGCTGAACCTCCATCCAGCAGTGGTCAAAGCCTCTCAAGAAATCCACTTCTTTGACAATGATGAGAATTATGCCAAGGGCATTGAGTGGTACAGGAAAAAGATGCCTTTTTCATACCCTCAGCAAATCACAATTGAAAAGAGCCCGGCATATTTTATTACGGAGGAGGTTCCTGAAAGGATTTACAAAATGAACTCATCCATCAAGTTGTTGATCATTGTCAGGGAGCCAACCACAAGAGCTATTTCCGATTATACTCAGGTGCTAGAAGGGAAGGAGAGGAAAAACAAAACTTATTACAAGTTTGAGAAGCTGGCCATAGACCCTAATACCTGTGAAGTAAACACAAAATACAAGGCAGTAAGAACCAGCATCTACACAAAACATCTGGAGAGGTGGTTGAAATACTTTCCAATTGAGCAATTTCACATCGTGGATGGAGACCGGCTCATCACAGAACCTCTGCCAGAACTTCAGCTTGTGGAGAAGTTCTTAAATCTTCCTCCAAGAATAAGTCAATACAACTTATATTTCAATGCTACTCGAGGGTTTTACTGCTTACGATTTAATATTATCTTCAATAAGTGCCTGGCGGGCAGCAAGGGGCGCATTCATCCAGAGGTGGACCCCTCTGTCATTACCAAATTGCGCAAATTCTTTCACCCTTTTAATCAAAAATTTTATCAGATCACAGGGAGGACATTGAACTGGCCCTAAAATACTATGCCATACAACACTATGTGTTGTGCCTGGAGACACATGGTGTCCCTTCTAGAGTAAATATGCACTTTGCTAGACACAGCTATACAAGTCATTTTCCCCTGTATACTTGTACATATGCAGTGTGTGACCAAATATAAGATCAATTCTTTTTCTAGTGAAACTTACAAAACAGAAAACAAAATTCTGCATAGTTGCATCTTCTACACTATTTACAAAACTAGAAGAGGTGGTGGTGTGGAGAGAAGGTGACTTGAGCTGTTCTCAAAGAGTTAGTCTTCCTGTGGTTCAAAATTTGTCACCTGCCCTTTTCATAGATTTAAGCCAAAAGAGGAATGTGTGAACATGTACCAGTGGCTGTGGAGCTGCGGGAAGTGGAGGATTCCCTTATGCATTTTTTCCCTAAAGAAAGCTAGCTCTAAAATTCAGATCCTAAGTTGGTGCCATGAAAACAGAAAATGCTATTTTCTTATTATTTCCAAGAATGTCCTATCTCGTACAACTGGCATTGTTCCAAAGTCCCCCTCGTGATTTGCACTGTTGTTCCCTCACATGGACCATGGTGTCACTCATAGCATGTCAGTCACATGTCAGAAAGTCAAGTCCTTTTGCTTCCATGTTGTATGTCAACAAAGAGAAATGTCATGTACATAGTGTATATTGTAAATACTGGTTTCACACTAAGTAATTCTATTTTGTAAACTGAATATGACTAATTTATTGTGAAAATTAAAATTATTGTGGTATTTAAAAATGGAATGGATTAAAGTTACTCTATGTGCAACTTTATTTTGTTTTACGTTCCCGCTGCTGGCTTCCAAAGTGACAGCTCTTCCAGTGCATTTGAGGGCCCTGGAAAGGATCCGTTGCTCCGATGGATTGTCATGCCCTCGTAAAGTATATTTATGAAGCGAGGCTGAGTATATGTTTTTTAAAACCCAAACCATCTGGAGATCAAGTAATAATAGCTACCCCTAAGAACCCCAGCTCTGCTCTACTACTACTTTGTTCAAATTAATTTACTTGCAGTTGCTGCTGTGCATAAGAGAGCTAAGGAATATGCTAACAGATCAAAGCAGGGAAGAATCGCGATTGTATCTGAATGCCTTCTCAGTCAGATGAGCAGAGAAAGTAAATAAGATTAGAAAGCTTGTGTGGCCTCGGTATTGGAAGCTGCTGATGCTTCAAAAGTGAATAAAAGTTCTCAGAAGTCTCTTTTAGATGAAACTATATCAAGCTGTTCAGAAATGATTGAATTCCATAGTGTTGCTATGACTGACAAACATATGGCTCATATTTCCATCCAGAAGAATTAATGCTAAATTAGGTGCCTTGCTGACATCAGATACACTATATTATGCTTATATATAATCCAGAAAAAATGTAGAAAGAGGTGGAACAACAACACAAGTATGGATTTTTCCCAATCGTACTTGTTTATACAGTGGAAGATATTTGAGAGGCTTTTGTTCAGCATCGTACTAAGATGCCTGGAGAGGTATAGCTGCAGGTATATCTCTGCAGATAGCTCAGCAGATTAAAGTGACTGCTTAGGCAGATGCGGGGGCTGGGGGGTTGATCCCCGATGTGCTGTGCCGGCCCCACTTTGGGGGCACAGTAGATGGCAAATGAGACTGGGCGTTGTGGCACGCGCCTGTAATCCCAGCACTTGAGAGGCTGAAAAACAGGAAGGATCACTATGAGTCCAATCTGTGTAGTGAGGCCCTGTAGACCCTGTACTAAATACATGGAAAAAAATATAAAAATAAAAAAAGATGCCTGGAGAGATAAGCACATGGCAAAGGATGCCCCTTTTCTGTAATAGTTATTATTTCCTCTGATGTTCATCACGTCCAATCATTGATGGTGAACTTTTCTGAATAAATAGTCCTTTCTCCACCAGTGTCAGTATATGTTGCTTCTCAAATCACAGCCTAAGTAATCTTCTCTTCTGCTTGAATCATTAATAACCCTGTTGTCCCTGAACAATACAGGAGTAACACCAACACATGCTGGCAGGGGCCTCCCCACTCAATGTGAGGACACTTGGGGGAGAGTCTCAGATCTATGTGTCCATCATGTCTCCCCTTGACAACAGCCATGTCCACATAAGGAACCTGGTTTCACATTTCCCTGAGCTTTTTACCCCAGCTAACCATAAGAGAAAATTCTTCAAGTAGCGCATTCTGGGACATAACCTTTGTACTATCATTAATCTTATGAAAGTACCACATGCCTACAACACTATATTGCTCAAGCAGCTTTGTGTGTCAGTGACATTAAATTATGCCCATTGGCCAGGGAGCTGAATAAGCACCTGCCTGGCAAGTGGGAGGTCCTGAGTTTGATCCCAAGTACAAAAAAAGTATCAAATTGCGCCCATTGGAATACTGATATCTCAATAATAATTTTTATATTATAAACCTTTCTCTTATTTATAGCACTATATATTGACAAAATATATTTAGGGAATACAAAGTGATGCTCTGGTTTTATAATATGGAATAATTGAGCTAATTAACATACCATCACCTCTAATACTTAATATTTTTGTGATTAGAACGTAAGAAATTTATTTTCAGAGAAACTGAAATGTGTAGCACTCCGTTATCAACTGTACTGAGTATGCTGTGCTGAAAAAACATCAGATGTATTCCGTCATGGTTTAGGGTTTTTGTAAGGGTAACAATATCATACAGGGGAACAACATAATATACATTTTATAATATTATTTTATAAGGAATCAGCCAAGAGTTATATACAAGAAGTGAAGAAAATATATCCATACACTAAACATTAAGGAATCCAGATGAGGTCCTGTATCTAATGTCCTGCATGGGTCCAGCTAGAAACCTGGAGCTCATAGCAATGCCTCCCACAAGGCCAACTGGAGGCCTGGAGCCCACAAGTCTTATGCAGGCCCACTTCCTGGATCTGTGCTGGGTGGCCCAAAGGTCAGCAGTGGAAGCTAGAAAGTCTGTGCCAGCAGGATGAAGGACCTGGGTTAGCAAGCTGAGGGATCTGAACTGGAGCCAGGAAGCAATGCTCAAGGTAAGCACCAGAGCCCCAAAAAAACACCACAGCCATCCTCAGCAGCAATGAGGTCCCGAGCTGCTCCAGCCATGAGGAAAGCTAACTTCCCATCAGGAAAGCCAATGCGACAAGCTTCTCCAGGAGGCTGAGCAGTGTACCATCTTCCCTTCCAGAGCTAGGAAGTGATGCTCAAGATGAGGACCCGAGCTTCTCCAAAGTTCATCAGGAAGGCCCGCATGTTGAGGTCCTCCAGCAGGACAGCCCAAGAGAACTAGCAGCTTCCAACAGTTCCAACAGCTTCTCCAAACAGCCTCCCTAACAGCGTTCCAGTAGCTTCTCCTGTTCTGCCTTTACGCTGCTGGCAACGATCCTCAGGGGGGCCTCCCACACCCAGCACCATGCTAATTTAATTCAGCTGGGTGTAGTAAGTTGAACACCAGTTAGAAATCCACTACATATTCCTGTGTTTACTGGAGGCTTTATTCTGCTGCCAGTAGTGTATGGCACAATTTATTCTAAGATTCCATTTGACTTACACCCACTTCTTGTTATTTTTAATTCAAGAAGTCAGTATTCCCTTATCATTTGCAGGAAAACAAAAAAACATTATGATTCCAGTTATTTTCCTTCCTACAGTTTTAGAATTGTTTTAAATCCTAAAGCTTCTCCACTGGGACCTGAAACAAGAGACCTACCATGGATGAATTTGGAGCGGTATATTCCATTTCACTGAAGAATAGTCATGGCCACAGTTGATTAGCCCAAGTAGAGAGAATTAAACCCCATGACTTAATAGAATACCTCCATGGGTGACTTCAAACCTTCTTGTTTAGATAAACATTTCTTTTTGTCATCAGACAGGCAGTGAACCTCTAGACCAATCTTTAGCTCATTACACACACCACAAGGTGTCTAACAAGTTCTTCATTTTATATCACGAACACTTTGTGTTCCTTCTGGAGGCTTGATGATGCCATATAACTTCGTGAATCCTACCTACTATGGGGAAAGCTGTTTAAGTACTGTGAAGTTTCCAATGGGTCATAATGCTGAAACACGAGGTTGTAAGCCAAGAAATAGCAAGTAAGTTACACAAACAGCCCGAGGTATGAGGAGACCTGGAAAGGAAGACAAGAACACATACAAACGTGTACAGTGTGCATCCTCCAACTCCAGGTGCATGTCCTGTCAACCTAAACCCACTGCACATGAACTTCAACTGATGCAGCCACTGCCTCTTACTCCTAGTTGTGGTATAGTGTAAGAAAAGCTAAGACATTTGATCCTCAGTTAATATCTGGTAAGTCAGATGTCTTGCAAATCCTTCTTAATTCCATCTGGTGTTAGTTTTGGTGCCTTTATATTGATGACCCGTGAGAATAGTCATTGCAGTGCCAGGTCCTATTCACAAATATGGGGGGACACGGGAGAGTCATCCAGAGGGTCCTAGAGCCCAAGCTCAGGAGCCAGGCAGAGCACTGCCCAGGACAAGAGCACACTGCTCCTAGTGGAAAGTGGGAACCAAGGACAATGCAGTCCAAATTACAGGCTTACAGAAAGCTTTTGCTTTGTCTAATTAACAGTTTGCTGAATTGGATTCCTTTCCTAAGCCTGATTGGAAAATTGTGCAAGGATGGAGACCCTCAAATGACTGCAGTGCCTTCTGTCTGAGGCATTTGTACTCTTTCACACACTCAGCAGCCACTTTCCACTAAGGAGAAGAGTTTACAGCATAAGCAAAACAGACTTTCCAGGAAATGTTCCTCCTAAAAATTACTACCTACAGCAAAATCATAACAGTGTCAGCTAACAAGTTGCAAATATAGAATATCTTAAAACTAACTTACTGCAATTATTGCCAAGTAAACCAAGTGTCAACTATACTTAAAATATATTGAGAATAAATACCCAAATATCACCTGTTTTGCTAAATAAATACCTCTTAATTGGCATACTGTGTTTTTACCAAACTTGGTATTATTCAAGGATTTCAAAATACCCTGACTTCTAAAGTAAGTTATTCAGCACCTCTCCCCACCTCCATGTCTATTTATCAATTTTTATAGTGAGCCCTTGTTTTATAGCTATTGCAAGAGTAAAATTTAGACCAAAATATGATCAGCCATTAGGTTCTAACTAATGGTGCTTTATTATATGTCTTATAAAAGACAATTTCTTTATATTTTGAACTGTTAAGGTTTCTTTCCAAATACATTTTATTGCACCTTTTTGAATAGGAGCGCTATTTCATGATAATTAGAAATGGATTTCAGAAGTTGAAAAGGAAGAAATAAGCTGATAGCAAGATATAAATACCTCCAATAGAAAGCCTACGATGGGTATTCCAGCATATGTATCTACTGTTTAAAGGAAGGTCGGCTGACAAGCCATCCTCCTTCAGTCTTGTGAAGCAGTCAGTAGTGTGCTTGGTGCCTTATCAGCTGATTCCAGCATGAGTCTGTGAAGTGTATCAACCTACCCGATTTGGGGAAGCTATTGGTAAAACTTTTTCATGTGTCATCTCTCTTCAAAACCAGCTCACCCAGGTGTGTGGCTCCCACAAGACTTGGCAGCACCATTTCCAAGCAGTAGCCTACCTTGCTTGCTGTTTCCACATGCACACACATTTGCTTTTCAGTTCCTTTCTATTAAGAACACCAGAAAAAAATCCTCAAGGCCTAGTGCAAAACTCTGTTTCTTTGGTAAAGCCACATAAACCTAAAAGTTCAAACAGAATAAAAAATTTGTCACTGCCACATGCTGGATCTAATGCCAGATCCCAGAAATAATTTTACTAAAGCTCCTCAAAGTGAAATTCTGGCGACACCAGATGACAATGTAGCTACACCTGACAGAATTAATGTTCTAAGCCATGGAGTGGAAATTCAGAAACTATGTGAGAAATGAACAGCTTGACTTGGTGCAACCAAGGAAGACTTCAGCAAGGTCATGCTAGAAGACACAGCTGTGCACAAGGCAGACACATGGGAAAAGTGCACTGCAGGCTGAGACAGAGAGCAGCGCAGAAGCGCAGTGGGTGGAAAGAACACCAAGTCCAGGAAGGCTGGAAAGCAGGCCCTCTGTAAGAAAATGTGGCAGATAAAGAGGAGAAACTGTACTGGAGCTTGCTAGGCCCTAAACAAGTCTAACCATCCCACCACTGAGGGAGCCTGCCAAGAACCAGGCCACCAAGGCCTCCCCAGGTCCACACCAACTGATCCTCCAAGACCAGGGCTTTAGAATGAAGAATCCACTTCCCTAAAGCTTTCTTTGAAGTGGGAAATATTAAAAAAAAAAAAAAAAATAGTTCCCTTAGTCTCTCCATTTTCCTTCCCACCCTTCATTCTTTGTGGTTCCCCCACTTCTCATGACTAGTAGCTTTGCAGCAGCTGATGAGATCTCTGCATGAGGTTCCTTCTCCCTGCAGGGCTGAGGGAAAGGCAACTTCACAAAGCCAAGTCTACATGGGCCAACATGCAAGAGCCACATCAATCATCCTCGAGTCATCAAGTTCCTGCTATGCTACATCCATACCAAACTCACTCAGGAGAGATGGGAACGAAA